GATAATGACTTAATTTCTTCTTCCATCATTATGAACTTCACCGATTTATTGAATCCTTGATCTTATATAGCATGTGTAAGCCTTGCCCAAGTCTGAATTACAAAACAAACATGGACACCCAGTTCTGACATCCTATACTGACTCATTTCACAGTAACCACTACCATCATTTGTGGGGTAATCAATGAACCAGTGTTGGAAGAGAATCAGAATATGCTGTGGGACTGGGAACCACAAAAAATATTCTTTACAAAAGCTTCCCGTTTTCTTCAGTGGCCTACTTCATGATTAGAAGAGCAAATTATACCTCTCAGCCTGTGTTGGTTTATATGATTCAAGATATGTTGATTTTATATTTACATATATATATGGCCTTGAAAGCCCTACCTGTGCAAGCTCAACCTAGGGGCTGACTGAAATTGGATACTTTTATGGTGACGATACCAACTAAGAAAGGCCAAAATAAGTCATTTTAATGACACCATGAAATACCATTATTTTTAATTCACAGTAAACAATCCTGTCAATGCATAAAACACAAGTTCTCTAGTTTGTTCTCGCATGCTTTAGGCCCTGCAGAGTTAACAAGCGAGGAAAAAAAAAAAGTCAAATCTGTTGTTCTGTCACATTAAAAACCCCCAAAAGAATAAGACATAGAAGATATGCTTTTGAATACACCCTATAATACTGGAAAGACTGTAAAATAGGATTTCCTCATGTACAACAGCATTTGAGAAGTTTTTGTGTGGCACATCACGCTAGCCTTCTAGCTCTCAGCACTGTGCTACACAGAACAAAAACCAAACTATCATTATAAGCACATTAAATTTCTAAACAAACACATTGTATCATTCTTCATTCTAAATGGATTCAGATGCCTACATTTTTAGGCAGTTTAGCTACAAAGTCAAATCCACTCGCCCTGTGTTCTCTCCAGTAAAATGGTGTAATGCCCTGAAGCATTCTCCATTTTCCTTCAACACTGTTTCCCTTCTTGAGGCCACATCCATTCTCTACTGATTGTTGGTTATTTTCTCCTTTACTGCACTGGACAGTTATTCTCTCTGGGCTAACTGTTGTACTGGAGAGAAGGAAAGGGGACTTATGCATTGGTAACAAGCTAAGAAATTAATTGTCACCCCTATCTATACCAACTCAGGGTCATCTTCATCATGCTGCCAACCTCCACATTAAATAAACCACCCTCCAAAATTAGTTTATACTACAATTTCTAAAATTACCTAAATATGTGACAGCATTTAGGTTTATTTGTGATACACTATGGTCATATTACACAGCTTTCTTTGAAGACCATTAATTAAAAAAAAAAAATGAGTCTTGAACAAAACCCAACATTAAATAGTGTAACTTTCCATAAAAATTAGGTGCTACTGCTTTATTTTAACAGGAAACTGCATTTTCAGTTTCCACCCCTCTCTTCCCATTTTAAAAAAATATTTTGCTTGCACTGTTCAATTTATCATACCTTGTTTAGAGATCTCTCTCATCTTCCTGTCAAATATTACTCTTTAGCTTCTGCATTTCTGTTTAAGGAAAGTGGTATTTATAAGCCTGTTCAAAGATACAGTAACTACCTGCCCTGGTTCCATGTAAAAAGGGGTTCAGGGCAGGACCCACACAGAACAGAACTATGTACTCGCCTCTTCCCCC